GTCAATGAAATAACACTGAGAAAATGAAAGTAAGACTCCTGTGTCATATTACCTAATGAAGGATGGAAATCAATCAGTTGCAAGAATTGTTAATGTTATAACTCTTAATATTTGCTTTTAGAATGTGTTCTGCAGAACAGCAGGAAATAAAGAAAAACACTATTTTAAAGCTTCTTTTAAGATACATGGAAGAATATGAAAAACTGTGCAAAAAATAAGCTATAATAATATAAGAACACAGAGTACACTAGTATTTAAATACTTGAAGTTTAATACCAGCAGAAGAAAGCACAAATGCAATGAAATGGTTCAATGCTGTGGTGCAGCAGAGGAAAGAGCATTTTATATAAAGTTGTTAGACATACAAATAAAGTTTGCTCAGAAGTAATTGATTCGAAATTCAACTTAATCCTTTTCTAAATGGAGTGATGCAGAATACAATTAGTTGAGGGAAAAAAAAAAAAAATAAGGCATCCAGGTTGACAGCAGCAGGATAAGCAATGAACCTACTAGGCCTCCTGGTTCCCACATCAGGACAATAAACAGTAGGTCCAGAATTCTCCTCCTCATACTCTAGAGGTTACTTAAGCACACAAGGTTTCTTTCAAAATGTATACGCCAGGGATATCTTCCATTAATGATAAATACGAATATTGCTAAGTTCTTAGCTGTGAGTGAGAGATGTCTCCATTTCTGAACTGCTCAAAATTACTTGAAATATCAGCAAACAGCTCTGAGGAAAACAAAACATTCTTCAAAGAACAGACTTTTTTCCCTAATGCCCACCCTGATTAATCACAAGCTGAAAAGAATACTTGATGTCTGGTGTGTATTTCAGTTAACACCATTTCATAAAACTCGGCTTAACAGAAGTAAAGATAAATTAAATCAAATAATACAAAAGTTGAAAGATGTGCCAGCTGACTTGCAGTCAAGAAGAAACACCTGATCCCTGAGCAGTAGGAAAGACCACAGCAAAGCAACTGGCCAAGCAAACAGCAAGCAAATTTTTAAAGCTATCTTCATGTATTATTCACTTCCCTTAGAACACAGTTGTGACAAAAAAACCATCCACTTTTCAAATAAACATATGCTATATTGGATAACACCAAAGGATACTACGCTGTGGAGCACACAGCCTGGAAGACCAGTTCTTACAGGACATTGATGATGAACCTTATGATACTGAGCATTAACGCCTCAGAGGCACAGTGCTATTTGTTCAGTTTGCACCTTATCAGAGCTTTTTATGAAGGCACTCTTTGTAATGCTAAGTTGAAAGTTACCCACAAACAAGGAACTGCTTCCCTTAAGAAACATCACCCTGAATATTCTTCTCAGAAACATTGTGTGCACTTGCTCTTTACAGTATAGCAGTAAACAACATTTCTTTATGACACCTGAAAATAAGCCAAATGCCCCAGAAGAGACATCTTTATTTAGCATCAAATTCTTAAGCTCACGTGTCTCTACACAAAAAGCTGTGATATATTTATCTCTGTGACATCATAAATCATGTGAAAAAGTTCAAAGCACTAAAGTACAGAGAATGATTTAAAGATTCAGTTATTGACAAATGGCGTTACAAAAACCCTGTCTTGAGATGGAAGTATTTATTCAGTATACAGAAAGCTCAAGTAACTTTCAGCAACAAGAATGAGCTGAGCTCAGTATCTCTGGCACAAAAATGTGATCAGAAAGACACACCTTTTTAAGTATGAAAAGTGTAGAATATTTTCTTTTATTTTAGATAGACCACATATTTACAATTTAGTTATAAGTACAAAAATCTGATATGAAGAAACTAAAAAAAGGAAAGACTAAACAGAAAGATTCTGCATGGCTCTGAGACTGGTAATTAGAAGTAGATCCTTCAATACATATCTCTGGGCTTAAGAATTTACAGACTAAACAAAATGTTTCAACTAACTCATAAGTTGTCATTGTTACAGTCTTTGGAGATATGGCATTTCCATATTCACATTGTACAGAAGTTTTCCATGAATTTTCAGCCAATATTTCAGAGAGAGAGAGAGAAAGTGAAGCATCAAGTTTGGTTCTAGCCATAAACTCAATATTGGTAAGTCTATAACCTGGAACTAATTACTAAGAACTTGTTTCTCAATTTCCACAGCTGAAATGTGATCCAAAAATCTTTCTCCATACTTCAAAAATTATAACTAATTTACCCAAACTATTAAGCAGAAATCTCGTAACTGTCTTTGTTCTGATGTTTGCTTTGCACAATCCTCCCTTAAAACCCTGTCTGTAGCATAACTGACAGAGCTAACTGTTCAAAGGCAATGGAGAGATAAGGCCACTCCCAGCAGTACGGGAAGTTATTGACATAAGGTCCTATATCCTATAGAAACCAGCTGCAAAACTGTTTCCAGGATGTAACTGTTAATTTGTAAACACAATGCAAACCGATGAAAGCAGCAGTGGTAACTGAATGTTTACTTTGGTAACACCAACAATAATCAGGCACAGCAAAACATGGGACTTTGAAGTTCAGTTATCGCATAAAATACCTATCAACAGTGCCTTATTACCAGAATTGGCATGATATAGAAGTACAGAAATAGGTTTGGGTTTCTTTTTTACTGAAATAAGGAACCAATAACCAGAATAGGCTTGGCCCTATTTGCAAAGTCAACAAGAAAAGCAGCTCCAAAGTTGAACTGTTGATGCAATATATCAACTTGCACCCAACATCTCTGTCTTCAAAAATTCTACATGGCTGAACATGGAAACAAATGCACAAATCTATTTGGCAATGATATTTTCTTTGCAACCACCAGCAGAGAACCCTGACTGAGATTTAACAGTTAAGTTTCCCCACATGAGCAGCAGAAATCGAGGTATGCATAGAGCTGTACAAGTCTTCTCGCAATGGCTCTGCTCCCGGCAATTGACAGAATCCTTAGCACAGCACATTAACACCTCATTAAGAGATTGGTGAAAAATGGAATAACTGAGGAAACAGGCAGGGTCACAGAAAGCAGAAAGGCACAGAGCTGAAGAAAATTCTATTTACTGTATGAACTCTCAGGTCAAACAGGGCACCAAATTAGGGCACCTCCACAATCAAGTGACTTCTGATAAGGAATTTTTCTGGATAACAACTTTAGGCTGAAGTACTGATCTCCACTCAAATTTTGTTTCAGAGTTCAAGTTCTCATCTATATTTTGAGTAAAACAATGCATTTCACCTCAAATTACACTACTGAAGAAGAGAATGTTTTATGTCTTGAAGGCAAGAAAGCCTCAGCTATAGATCTGGATGTCCTCTCATTAGTGAAACACTTCTGTCTTAGACACCGAGGTCACTTTCACTATTACAAAGAAGTAAACAGTTGTTTGCATTATCTCTCCCCACTATCAAGAAAATTTACCTGTTCTGTAGCAGTGTAAATAAAGTTATCTTCAAATCACAGGCTTGTTATTTTGAAAACGAAACAATGTTTTGTATGAAAAAAATGACAGACACCCCATAACACTGAGCGACCACATTAAAGTTATTATTTCATTATTTTAAATTTTTTTTAAATTATCAAAACATATCATACTGTCTCCTGCCTCAACTGTGCTCCCCCTCTGCACCCTACAAGAAGTACATTTCTACCAGCTCCAAAGACAAAATTCACAGTCCCTGGTCTGCCATAACAATTGACTCTCATACCTCTGGTCTGATGATCTCAGATCTCAGCTGGCACCTCAGGCACTTGGAGCTGCACACATGCCATGGTTACACCTTACAGCTCCTTGCTGTATTCTGTTGAGCTGTTCACAAATTAAATACTATGTTCATATTATTCTTACATACATCCAATTATTAACTGAGCAAAACATGTTTTTTACTACATAAAGTTGGACAATCAAAGCAATGGAGGGTTACTGAGCGAGTCACACCTAAATTTTGGTAAACCAGTATGTTTCCATACACTGTTACGGCTACTGAGTCCCAGTGTTTTTGATATGCACTGAAATATTGCTGTCACTGCACCTTCATACTAGTCAGCTGTCTTTTTGCACTTGATTAAAAGATAACACATTCCTATGTCTGTCTTTAAACCTGTTTGAGCTTTACTATTTGTGTCTGGTTTCATACTGAATACTCCTTGTCCAATTGTCAGGGCTGAAACACTCACTGCTCCACCTTGCATCAAACTATATTGGAAAGACAAATCAAAACAGCTGCACTTTCCAAAAATGTATTTAAGTAGTTTTCCCCATATGAAGAAAAATTTGCATCCTTGCTAGTTTCTACTAGCTTCATTCTTTATTATTTGAAATTAAGCAGTAGGGTGCCCTGTTTGTAATACCTTAATGCCTTCTGATGCACCCAGAAATATCAGAAAAGTATCTGGAAAGGAGAAAGAACTGAGGTTGAGAGACAAGATGAGAGAGAACAGAATTAAAGAAGATACAGAACAGAAGCTACAAAAGTGTAAGACGTATAAGATGTGAAAGATGAAGGGCCAGAGAGAAGACAATGATGATGGTAGATTACAATAACAGTGTGAAGGAATGCTTGATGATAGGGTATAAAATGAGAAGGTATAAACAAAAATTTTGATACAACACTTTATAATATAAACTTGCACATTATGGCCTTAATTTCTTTTACAGCACTTGTCTCAAATTGTTTGATTGCTTGGAACTAGGCTGCACGAAAAAAAAATCTGGAGCCCAGAACAGATCTCATTTAGCACTTTAGTTCTATTTTTGCAGGTGAATAACCTCAGCAATTTGGAAACAGTAAAAACAGACCGATCTAACCCTCAAATACTTCGGACTTCATGCATTTACAGCAGCGCGCGCTGCCATCTGGAGGCAGAAAGTTCCAAGTACAGCTACAAAGAAGATGCAGTGGAAGGAAACCCATACCTCCCTAAATTTGATTAAGACAGCTAGTGTTTCTTTTGAGTTTTTAACCAATGAAAATTTATTAGGGCAGTGAAATTATGGTCTTCTTTTTAAAAAGAACACAGACTCCCCATTTTTAAAGGATGTTTATTGCACAATTCAAAAAGATGTGAAAGCCTTTATACCTGTGTAAGGTTGCAGGTTTCAGTGATCATGCCATTGAGCGCACAGAACTCAGCTGAATGGAGTCTTTTCTGGAGAGTGTAGAAATTAGGATCACAGGGAACATGCAACTGTATTAAAATAAGAAAAGACAAACATCAGTTCAAGTGTAAACCTACAGAGTAGAATGAAGATGTCTGCATGAAGGGACAACAGGTGAGACCAATCAACCTGGCTACCAACAGGATACTGCAGTTCAAGCTTCAGATGGGCTTAAAGCCCTTATGACAACGTTCCCCACTCAGTGACCTACACCCTTCTCTCTGCTACTAAAGATGAACATTGCATAAACATAAGCCTAAACCCATTGGTACTTCAACAGAAGAACATTGCTAGCAAACAAAAAATTTACTATTTGATGCACTTAGTGTGTGTTATACCACCGAGAATCCAGATCTAACAGTGTAATTTAATGCACAATCAAGTGAAGAGAAACTTGCTCTTATCCTGAATGAGCACTTTCCAAATCTGCAGGCTCTCAGTACAGACCTTTACACACAGTTAGGTTTTTCCACATGGGAATAACTCAGACATGAACAATTAATAGAGCAATATTTATTTATTAATTACTTGTACTGCATTACGTTTTCATGCTCACTTATTTTTCCTGAGAAATGTTCTGGCCTGTGCAAACCGTAGGGAAGTTTAGCTTCAAACTAAGGTTTGTAATTATACATGCTAATGCTTTGAACCTAGGCTGTGTCAATTAACTATTACCTCAAATGGCTTCAGAAATATTACTGTATTTGCATTAGGTAAAATTGCAAGCAATAACTATACCATAGTACTGGACTTACTTGACTGATGTCATCTAAGGATGTTTACCAATGACATTCTTGTCTTCATCCTTCTTCTACTTCTGCTTTTTATACTGAAGGAAAAAAAAAGTTATTAGTGGAGAAAAATGCATAACTAAAAGCAATGACTGTCAAAGATTTACAAGTCTACTCATCTACATAAAATTGTCTCAGATTCAGTTCAACAGAGATATGATGGGCTTTCTATCTACAATATAAAATAATGGAGACATTTGCTTTCTCATGAACACTGTGCATCTCATCTTCCTCTCAGCTGCAGAATCTGAATGATGCTTTTCATAGTTGCATGGCGAACAAAATCTGATTCATGCACAGACAGTTATTTACTAGACTGTAACTGCTGGGATTTAGCTACTACTATAATTTTGTAATCTATGACTAATCTGAGCTTGCTCCTGTAAGAATTCTTATTTGGATTTCACGGACTGGCAGAGATAAGGACTTAACAGTCATTTAGTAGATTAAATCACAGATACTTAGAGCAAGTGGAATTTTTGACTTGTTTCATTATACTCAGAAATCCATGTTAACATGTCACGCCCACCAGACAGATTTAAATCCAAGGAAGCCCATATACTCTCAGCTGTCTACTGGCATACAAAGTACATTCTTTTATTTAATTATCTGGTTTGTCATTCCACAATTTTTCAGCTAGGATACATTGATGTGGACCTTGCAGAACTGAGTGATATTCTGAGCTACTATGATAATAAAGATGCATTTCCAGTGGGTGATAACTATGAGTAGATGGATTACCACAATTCTGTGGTAATTTTCTGTGCTGTCTGTCCCTGATCTGCACAGCCACAGACAAGACTTGAGAAAACAACATTCTGCAAATACAACAAAATGACTAAGAGAGGATAGATTCCTGTTAGGAATGCAGCAAGTGAGTATCAACAAACTGTGACTTGCAAAAATTCCACATCTTTCCTCTGTGATAGATTTATATTAGTCACCACTGTAGAAATTTACTATAATTCTTAATGACAACAAGTTACACATAGACTAACTTAAAACACGAATGGTTCTAAATAATACACTTAATTTTACATTGGCAAAGGTGAATTTTGAAACAGGAACCACTGCAATCATAAACACAGCAGACATTTCCTTTCACTTGGATACTTCAGTGTCCCAAACAACAGTTTGTACAACAGTTTGCTGTTCATAATTTGCTTTGCAATGTTTTCTTCATTTTGAACTGAGTCAGAGAAAAGCTTAGACAATCTGATGCACTTACTTTATTCATGATCCAGTCAGCATCCTCAATGGCTCTCTTAATAATTTGCTGTATTCTATCAGGATCATCTTCATCAGCATGAACTTTGAAACTCTGCAACATTTAATCTCAAGCGTTACACTGACAGTCAGCCCAACGCACCGTAGTTTAAATAAGGATCACTTTTAAACCCCAAAGAAAATTTCACACCAAACTTTTGATTTGAAGATGTAAAAATATTCATCACAGCACTTGCCCACGCTATTTCCATAACAAGGCTTATCAAATGTATTTTTCATATAAAACGTTTTACTCTTTTCACACATTATGGCCAGAAAAGTACCAAAAAGATGATCAGAAACTATGAGAACTTCACTTTGGAACAACAATCAAGGTATCTTAATGTAGAAATGCATAGAGGTACAAGCTCTGGTTTAGAAAGCATGTAACATCCCAGTAAATTCAACAAGACCTAAGTAAGTCACTGCATGGTGAAGTTTCCTTGAAGTTGCTGTTACAGTAAAACTACAAGAGACACAGGACAATAGGTATAATCAAAGGCATTAAATAATCTCCATATGAACACCTATTGTGGAAAACAACCCCAGATGGGGAACTAGCCAGTATTACCGAAAGGATGTGGCCGGGTAAATAAATAAACAATTGTTGTTCACTATCTTGACTAACACAAGAACTGACAAGAAAGCGAAGGAAAGCAAACAAAAATCAAGTGCTCCTTCACATAATCCCTGTATAATCCTCTGAACCCATGGAGGTTTCAAGCCTACAGAAGAATTTGCTTTAAATTTCAAGGAGTTATAAGAAATTGGTCCAAATTGTAGGATTAAAAAAAAAACAAAAACACACACACACCACAAAAGACCTACAACACAACTGTGAACTCAATAACAGAAAAGAATTACATTTCTCACCTGCCTGATTGCATGTCTGTAATGCTGACGAATATTCTCTTCAGGAAGCTGCTTACAGCATCGGAGCAAATAACGGTATAACTGCAGAGCGTTCCGAACTGACCCAGCACTGGGTAGTGGAGCCATTACCAAGGTTTTCAGCTGTAGAAAAATCAAGAACACAAGTCAGGATACTCACTGAATTTTATCAAAAACACAGTAATAAAAGCATAAGGCAGTTTTACAACAACAAAAGCAAGGCATGTAAATTAAAACTTAGCACCATAACTTGAAAAAATCTTTAGAAGAAAACAATATGAAACTTGCTTGGCTTACAAACAAATATGCAGAGAAGATCACTTTACTACTGTAACACTAAGCTATATTGTAATACAGTGCTAGTATTTTCCTAGTAAAAAAGAAAACAGGAACAAGCACCCTCCCCCCAAAACAAACAAACAACAAAAAAAGCAATGACAGAAAATAAAGGAGTACTGGCAGCTCCAAGAGAGCTGTCTGCTTGTCAAGCCATGATGGTCCTGAGGCTCATAAAAGCTTGCAGTGTTTCCTGTGAGTATCTGTAAGAGCTCATCCACACGGTGACACTGTAGAATTAGGGCCTTGATAATTGCTATGAGTTATGTTGTAGTTTAAAAATATTTCCTAGCATTGTGACTCTCTCAGGAGTACGCTGCCGACTGGCTTGTGGAAGTCAAGCTTTAACTCAAAATACGGAAGATATGCAAAAAATACTGAGCTTTGAAATTTTCTGTTTTTTGGAACAGCAACAGAAAATGAACAAATCTAGCAAGTGTCCCCTCAGCAACTCCATTTATGTATTGCACCAATACGTCCATCCGAGCTATATAAAGTGCTACTCAAATAAAGGACTTGTCATTTAACAGATGGCTGCCATCTGCAGAGAACTAAATTAACATTTGGAAAATAGCACTTCTACATCATTACTCTTTTAAGAATAAAGATAATACAGAAGCATCTGAATAACGAAGGTGTAGTCAGACCTGTAGCACCCGCTATAATACCCATCACTTGGATTTAGTTACGTTTTCCTGCTCTTAAGCAACATCTTTGGCCAACTTCTGAGTACAGTACCACAGTAACACCATCCTATGCATGGGCTGCTAGCAATCAAACTGATTATTCCTAATAGGCTGCAATACTTCAACAGTTTGGAAGATGCACAGGAAAAAAGCAAAGGCTGAAATTTAAATCCAAACTGCATCATTTCCAAGTACTTTGGATCCAAACGTATTTCACAACAACCCTTTAAGAAATAGCACAGTACGTGCAACACCTCAGAGCTCTGTGTAGGCCAAAACAAAGCCTGCTGTAAGTGGCTGCTTTCAGTCAGCTCAGAGCTGATCTCGCAGTATAACAACCCATGCAGGTCCTATCACAAATGTACTAAAAACTGGAAGAATTGTTTAAATGACCCCCATTAGGAAGAGGTTATGGAGGTTTACATTTCATCATCCATATGACTATTTTAATTTCTTTGATGTTCTGAAAGAACCAGAGAATAAAGTTCCTGGTACCTTCCAACATCTCCTGCAGGAACACCGCACCCTTGAATCAGACACTGTGCTCTAATCTCTCCAGATTTCATAAAATATTCATTCAGAACTCACATTAACTTTCTCACAGATTTGAAAGGGTCATACCTTAGATTTCCTTACATCCATTCAGTTGCCAAGCAGCTACAGCTCCTGACATTAGCAAAAAACTGCTCCAGTTGAACACTGTCTTATAACTACAAGAGAACAGGGTTTGTCAGCTTAAAATAAAACCCCACGAACAGACATTTATATTTAAAAAAGATATATCTGTAAGGGTGAAAAGTGACCAGGATAGTGGAAATTTTCTGTTGAACGTGATACAGACTTGTTCCCATCTGCTACAGAATTAGTATCTCTCAAGAATTTTGAAGCAGAACAGAATAAATACCATAGGACAATAATGCTGGAACATTTAAAAATCATCTTTCTAAGCACCTGCAATGTGAACACTTGCAGACACTGGTACTTCTCACAGTGGCAAAAAGCTGTTCACCAAGTATCTACAAAATGTCCATCATTATGAGACATCTACTGCTGTGATCTCTACTTTTAGTAAAGCAAAACAGACTGTGGTGAAATCAAGTAGGTACAAATGAGCATCTCTCTACAACAGGAACAAGAGCTTTGCTGATTTACAGCAGCACCTTTAAAGCTTAAGCCATAGCAAAAGTTTGAAGACTGGGTAAAATTTATACTATAGCAATTCAACAACAGGTTCTGGATTCAAAAATGTAACATCCTGTGAAGAGTTTGCTGCAGTACAGCTCTTTGTCTGCAGAAGACATATGGGAAGTCTTAGCATTATTATCTGCATTGGAATTGTGCCCATAATGTCAGCCAGGAGCTCAGGCTCAGTCACGGCAGGTACTTCCTCTTTCTGAGTACACCTATACACCTATCATGAAAAAGTTTCTGCCACAAACTATTTACAAGGCAGACTGATGACAAGTCACAAGATGAGGCAGATGAGCCAAACAGGTGGGATGGGAATGGGGAGGAGGTGACAGCAATCCGAACATGTTTTCGTGCAGACTAATAGAGCACACAATATAGCTCACCAGCTGCTTAGCTGCTATCAACAGGCAAGTTTTGTAACACTCTCTTTCAGCAGGTCCTTAGAAAATAAAGGGTCACAGCTAATGAGTGAGGGGTACTGTGGAAGTCCTCAAGAAAAGCTATGATGACACTTCACCAGGAAAATCTCTTTCTACCCCTCAAGAGAAAAATATGAGCTTTAAGGGATAACCATTAAGTGCTGTCTCATGAACTGATGAAGTAAAGACTATCAAAACTAATTTAGGATGGTCACTTCCTTACACAGTCCTTGGGAAGTACTGACATTCAGGGGATCTTAAAGTAGATAAGGAACATTCTTGAGATGGGTAGATGGGCAATGCCAAATCAAACATGGCAATGGCAGCCCTGTGCTTTTGCATGCAGTGCCAGGAAGCCTAATACACATCAGAAACAAAAAGTGGTTAATTTTCATTTGGTTATTATTACTGAATTCTAAAATAAACATCTTCAGGACACAAGTAGTATAGCGTTTTAAGGAAAGATTCCACGGACAAGATGCAGGAAGTTTTGTTTCTTTAATTCTTTACAGGTAACTCTGAAGTAGATGTAATAGGTGATGACCAGAGTTAACTTTCAAACACTTCACACCACAGCTGAGTGTGAAATCACAGTGCCTTGGCATGAGATCTTAAGTTATCTGGCTCCCATTCATGAGCTTTCCCTTCTGCCAGTCATTCCCTCCTCTCAGAACTGAGAAGTAACAAAGACAAAACTGAACTGGTCCTGGCAGGTCACTGAGGTCAGAAAGCCTCACCCACCACTGAACGGTCCCACCTTTATCTGAAACAGATGAGTTGTTCAGTGCACTCTGAGCTTCCCAGGGTGTGCCTGGTTTTGAATATTTGATATGTTCTATTAGTAAAGTAAGAGAGATGAGGTAAGACTTCAAATAATACCTCCTGGGAATTATTCACAGCCAAAATATGGCTTCCATTGGGTTTCAAGAACAATTAGAAAACCATTCTTCCACCATGAAGACAATAAGTTGGCCCTTCAATGCTACAGTAATCTTTCCATTATGCTTGTTTGATTCCAGTTCTGTTCACTCACATTTGTTCAATAGAAGTCATTCACCCTCACCCACTTAATACTTAGGGATTTAAATACTGGGCAAAAAGATGTAACAAAAATTCAGAAACACAAACTAAGAGCTGACTTTTCAGAATGGTTCCAGCCCAACTACTCAATCTGTCAGCTCATCAAATTTGCTAATTATGGATTTGCACTGAAACATTCAGCTTAAAATAGTGATCTGAACACCCCCAGAATGCAGTTCATCTCTAATTCACTTCAAATCTTTTTGCTAAAGCATTTTCTCTCTCTACAATGAAACCTATGCTGAACATCAGCTCTGTGCATTTTTTTGTTTGCATTCATTCCACTTTGGCATTTGAGAAAAAGGGTGATGATAGTCTTGGAGCTCATTAAGAGATCCCTGTGCCACCCCTCCAACCAGCAGAATGATAAAGAAACTCCAAAACGCGGCTCAGGTAACACAGACTCAATTGTTCCTTAATCTTCTCTCCATTGAATGCAGGAGTAGCAAAACAAGGGTTTTAATACACATCCTGCAGTTCCAAAATCAAGTAGAATGATTCCAAGTCTGTGACCTACCATGAAGACAGAAATATAATAAAAGAACTTAACCAGAGCAGGCCTCAGTTTTGTTTGGGCACCTCGTTCATAGACTTCTACAGTGCTGGTTAAGATGATCAACCACAGTGACAGAAAACGTTCACATAAACAGCAGGGTATGGCAGGGAAGATTAGAGGTCTTGTGTTTCTTCAGTATCAGCAGTTTTCACTTACAAGTCATAAGCAGGCCTCTCCCAGCACAAAACAAAGCTTTTAAACATGTTCATTGTTTATTATAAAAAGACTTGCCTGCCCTTGACATTCTCTTAATCTTCTTTTAAACTTGGTTATAAAAACCAAGATGGGAAGGATGCATAATACCCGCCAGCAGCAAAAGCAATAAAAGTACAGCAGAGAAGAACCAATTTGTTTTTGCTTTTCTTGGGACTGGGTGACATCACCAGCAGGACTGGAAGGAAGGGAGTGCTGAGAATGCACTGCACAGCTTGCTGAATTCACAACCACCAGCCACTGGAAAGACTTTAATTTGAGAAAGTCTCCATGCTCACAGCAGAAAGGAGAAACTCCCTCGTAGCAATTTCCCTCAACTGCTACAATGATAGCACAACTCACATTAGCTGTCTTCCACTGAGCAGAAAACTCTTTATTCTTCCTACAAGAATTCCCAAGCTTGCTAAAATCCTGTGCTGCTTCCTGAAAGCAACTGTTGTCTTTCTTACTGCACTTCACTGTAAGCCCACCACAGGACACAGAAAACTCAATGGCTGTTTGGCAGAATAGCTATTCAATCAAACCAACCTAGTGACTTTCTACAGTTTCTTAGCATAATGCAATAGTGTAGACCTACTGCCCCTTCCAATGTTTAACTTTGCACTTGTACACCACACCGTATTAGAACGTTTGCATCAGAAC